TGCTTAGCTCCTACTCCTGAATGTTGCATAGATTAACGTTGGGATACTTTGCATACTACTTGCTGCTTTAGATCATGTGTCTAAGTACCGCAGGGTTGCACACGTGAATCTAATGTATATTTCACTAGCCCTGAACTTTTCAGTGAATAATTTGTGCGAAGAAGCAGCTGCATGGTGAGAGAGATTGCAGGGGTTATCAGATCGGCCTCGCTTAGTCGTCAATTTCTGGCTGTTGTGAACGTAAACGGTGGCTATGAACCTTTGGCTGCTCGCTCCTTCCATCGCACCTTATTGTCGCGCATGAATTCTGTCCACGGTGTGGGTATTTCCAATTTGCCGGCATAATTCAATGGCAAGGTGCGGATCGATGTGCTTGTTCCACTGTTGCCAGCTGAACTCCGTCTGAAATTCACTGCTTTCCTGGTTTTCATCGGATATCGTTAATCAGGCTAACTTTTTTGATGAGACAGTTCAGCGTATAAGTTTTGCTCACATTCAGAAATCATTGAGAAACAGCATCAGCAAGTGCTGGGAATGCGTAGTCAGGATTTTTTCCAAAGAGCTATTAGCAAATAGAAGTGCACTTTAAGCACACACATATCAGGTGTGGGGGAGACGGCGACACTTGGCGTCTGCGGATCTTCGCTTGAGCTGTTCGGTGGCATAAGTGAATCCGAGACAGGCAGTGATACCAATGGTTCCACCATCTTTGTGAGCAGCTCTCCGCAAACAATCATTGTCGGTTCAACGATGAAATCGATGAAACCTGTTAAAAGCTTTATTCAAAACACTTATCATTTTTCATCGAAACCGGCTGATTTGGAGCTATGGAGACAAAGGCCCAAAAAAATTGGTTTTAGTGAGTTGAACCGGTGCCCACTCTCAAAGTCAAACCTAACATCCTCCAGAAGTCAAAACCACTCTCGCTTGCACATAATGCAGCAAACAAAAAAAGGAACTATGACGATTATCCGAACAGGCCGTTAGTGCTGGCAACGTCCTAACACTCCAGTCACTTTGGTATCTTCATCCCTCGCAGACAGCGAAATGAGGAGGGGCTTTTCATTTTAATTTGACAGGAATTATTCTTCCGAATCGTTGGGTTGTTCCAAGGAAAATCGTCAAAATTTGGGGAGCGAGGATTACAGTGACTGTTGCTGACCTAATTTTTCCAGTGCTTTTAGAAAGCCAAAT